CAGTAAACATCACAATGCTTTCATACAACAAAATATCTTAATTTTTTTATTAAGTCTTAAGGTTTGTATAGCAATGTTTTTCGCAGTTTTTTTTTTTTTTACTATGTTGCTTAACTATCATGCAAAGTAATATTCATTTTAAAATTAAAAATACTTTTATGCATCAGAAAATTTTGAAATTTCACGTGCAATATCTTTATATTGTCCAGATAGTTATCAAATGTTTCTTAATAAAAAAACTTTAAATTTTATCTGTTATTTTCAGTAATTAATCTCTTTATGAGTATGGTAGATTTGACCGATCTCGCAACCACCATAAAAAATTAAGAAATAAACATAAATTATGCCTCTTTCATTCTAAAATGAACACAAATTATAACACAAAAATATAAATGTTTAGACTAAATAGCTTAAATCTGATAACATTATACATTTGTATATATATTTATTATTTTTATTATATTGACCTTTCAGCTGTGCCTGGCTAATAATACAGAAGTTACAATGACGTGCTCTCATGTTACTGTATCAAATAACATAAAACTGACCTTTGGTCTGTACAAAATAACTTGTCTTGGCTGTGTTTTAGTAGACTAGTATTTTGTTAAATACAGTCACATTTCAATTATTATACACTAGCTGAGTTACCCAGTGTTACACAGTGAAAATTTAGATTTGAAATGTATAGATCAGTATATTTTTCAGAAAATTATTCAGTAAGTAGACAAAAGCTGTGATGCGAGAAATAAAAAAGCATTTAATCAAACAAAGCTTTATTTGAAATTAGAATTTACAATACTTCTTTATATACAACACTGCATGTTTTTCCAGAAGGAGAGTATACATAAAGATTGTTAGCTGTTCCTACTCTAGAGCATCCTACATACAGTTGACCATGAGAGAAGCAGTCTTCTTGTAATTGTAGCCCAACAACTTTCACTGTTTGTCTCTGTGATTTGTTGATTGACATGGAGAAACTTAATCTTACTGGAAAATGTAAGTGCCTAAACTGAAATGGCATCTCTGATGTTATTACAGGTATCCTAGGAATAAAAGTATCTTCACCCTTGCCACAACCAGTTTGAATTTGTGCTTCAATGACATGAGGCTGTAATGCCTTTATTATTAATCTGGTACCATTGCAGAGCTTAGGCTGATCTAAACTTTGTAGAAGCATTATAGGACCTCCAACTTTAAGTTGTAGTTGGTGAGGAGGCAAAGAATTTAGAAACTCCATTGGATAGTTGACAACTTCATTTTGATTGATAACTTTATCAATTGATTTGTAAATACAAGGATTCCCTGGAATATTTTGGAGTAGTTGTTGGTTGATAGAATTAACTGTCACATTTTTCGGTGTCAATATTGCTCTTTCACACAACCAAGTAAAGTCTTTGTAGTGATAACTAAAGTTAGTAAATACTTTTTCTGTTAATTCATTAACACTTTGGACCACTGTGCTGATTTTAGATATAATGACTTTGTTGTCATGGTCAAAAAAATGGCGCAATATTCATTAATTGTCAATTTAGTCATTAAATACTATACCAAATACAAAATAAATAGTACCATTAAATTTCTTGTAAAAAACTGGTTATTATGAAGTTATTTTAAAATTTGCAAGTTCAATCATTTGGTTTCCTATACCGAACACATAAACAAACTTCCTCTTTTACATATATTTTGAAATAAGTTCTTAAACATACTTTTCTTAAAACACATAACACTAACTAAAGAAGTAAAGCAAACAATTATCTCTTCTAGTTATGACCTTTGTACTCAGATGCTGCTGATGTAGGTTGCTAAGCCTTTAAAAAATTTGCACGTGGAGGATATGAAACAAAATATTTTTATTAAAGTTTTATATATATTTTGAATAACTAAAAAATCATAAATTACTACAATAATACCATAGAATTCCACTATAATTTATCAAGCTTAGTAACTAAGATGTATTTTAGTCTAAAAAAATGGAATTTTGAGCAAACTAAAGACACCCTACTTTGTTGAAATATTGGTTCAAAAGAAATGCCGCCAAGTCCCTTAAAATGGTTGAGAAAGCTACTAGGGGGAAATTCTAAGCTTTCGATTGGTTATTCATGTCATATTTAGAAGTAAGTGTATATAAGGGAGCATTTCCTAAAGGGAAAGAGGTGGGCAGGGTGTCACTGTGTTTGATTTATTACATGAGCAATATCTTAGCAAATTGAAAAGATAAAAGGTTCTTATTTTATATTCTACCTTGCCAATATTGGTAATTTGAGTTTCTAGTTCATACGAAACTATAGACTTAGTATTTTGACTTCACAAACATCTAACTTGAACCATTGCTGTATTCAGCATACCACATGACACACAAAAATTGATGTTTATCTGTTTTTAATATTTGCTTTTAAATTAAGAAATTGAGTAATATGTAGTACTCAAATTTGAATTATAATCTACAGTTTGATACCAAAGTTACTGATATAAATTTATGAAATTCAGTTCTATATTAAAACAAAAAGGTATAAACCGCATGGTATGCCTGCCTACCACAACAATACCACATTTGGATAAAAAAGATCTACCCTTCAGCTGGGTAAGCTCCACATTCAGTTTTATTTTTGGAAGTAACAGCTTTAAAAATTTATATGCAGTAACTTAACAACTGTAACCAACTGATCTTAAAGTTGTCATTCTCAAAAATAAAGCTTTATACAATGAAAAAAAAATACTTAAATTATAAGAAGTCACAATATGTCAATGTACTTTCTAAATAAAAAAATAAAGTATCATTTTCAATAACTTTATATATGTAAATTTTAGTTATAAGTTTATCTTAACCAAATGATAAGTAGGAAAAAAATTAATGGACTATGTACTTACAAAGAAATTCTGAAAATTAAGGTTAAAATATGATTTTGTGAAAAATCTACATGACAGAAAAACACAACTGACAACATAACTATTCAAAAATGCAACAAAAATGGAAGTTACTGAAACAGACAAAATTTTGCCAGTCCAGACCATCATGTGGAAAATGTTAAGAATCACTGTTCTTCAGTACAATACACACTAAATAAAGTAAATCTATTAAAATATCCATAGCAATAAAATTCAGATTTCTTAATTATCAACTGACCTCATCTAGTACAATGTAAGTGCAACGACTTAATACCAGGTAACGATTCTCCAAAACATCAATCATACGACCAGGAGTGGCAATCACAATCTGGCAGAGAATAAAAGTATTATCAGAAAAATGTATACAATTGTCATAATTTTATACAACTACTTATCAAGAGATCGAATAAAAAAATTCTGTAATAGAATAACAGTGAATTTATTAAAAACAATAAGACTATGACAATTTAATATTTCCAGGGTTTTGAAGATTTTACTTTAATTTTTTATAATAAAATAATTAAAACATATAAAAGAACTTAAATGGCCTAAAAATAAAATAAAAGTAAGAAGTATTTGTGTATGAAGACATTTCATAGAAAGATGGTAAACTGAAACAAATATATAAAGTTAATAAAAGAAAAGCATCAAAATAAAAACAGAGAAGCCTTTCTAAAAAAAATCCATAAAATCATAAAATTTAAAAACTTAAATTAAGTATATTAATTTCTTAGTGGGGCACACTCACAGGCAACATGTTTCATTACAACCTCTTGATGAAGTACATTCACTGATAATGTGTTTCAATTTAACCTTAAAGAAACACATTCACTGACAACTTGTTTTCTGATATCTTATAATTTTTTTCTGCCAGTATCACTAATATAAAAAATGTGGCAACTAAGAAAGAATGAAAACAAACAAAACTGTAGTTTTTACAAGTTAAGGCTTAGTATATTAGGCCTGTATTATTTTTTTGGATAAGTGCCTTGAAGATATTACCTATAAAAGGAACAAGCGAGTAAAGTTGTTCTTTCACGAACTATAATGTTAACAGGTTACAATATCCTTCATGTGTAATAATCCAAATTAGTTTAATTCAAGGAAAACCCATAGGTTTTTGTGACTTCCATCTAGTGTACATGAAAATCCTTAAGCCTCAATATCCAAAATAGAAATTGTTTCCCTTCTACTATTCTTGAATCAAGTTTAGGGAGATAAAACATGTACAAAAAAAGGGTATCATTGCTTTACTCTCTTCAACAAGATGAGTATGCTTCACTGAATGTTTAAATTTTTCCTTTGGTATATATATATATATATATATATATA